GTGGTGCCCAGAACTGGACACAGTACTCCAGGTGAGGTCTGACCAGAGCAGAATACAGTGGCACTATTACTTCCCTTGATCTAGATGCTATACTCCTATTGATGCAGCCCAGAATTGCATTGGCTTTTTTAGCTGCCGCGTCACACTGTTGGCTCATGTCAAGTTTGTGGTCAACCAAGACTCCTAGATCCTTTTCACATGTACTGCTCTCAAGCCAGGTGTTTCTTTTACTTCTTTATTTTTTCTTTCTTCTTTTTTTCTTTTTCCCCTGATATCTTATCTTTCATTTCACTCCTTTATTGTGAATAGCATTTTGTAGAGGTATAAATAGCTGTAAATATGAAAAGAGGCAAAGTATTCTCTAATTTTATTCCTTGGTTATATGTATTTTCTTTTTCTTTTGTTGTAAATATGTATGTTTTCTAATTCATAAAAATTTAAAATTAAAAAAACACAAACACAAATTGAAGCCCACCTGCCCCAGTCATCGTTTTCCCCCTCTACCTCCCAAAAAACAGATCAGCCGAGATCTAGGTCTTAATCAGAAACTGACAGGCTTGCGCAAGGAGCGGCAGAGATGTGTCAGCCAGCCTGTGGCACAGGGCAGGGTCCGTTTCCTAGATCTGCAGCCTGGATTACCCACGGGCAAAAAAAAAAAAAAGTTGCCCACGGTAAAGGGTCACCCGCCTTTTTTCTGGCAACTTGCTTGGCTGGAAAAGTCAGCTGGGAACCAGGAGAACTTGCAAAGCGTCTCTCTCTTGGGATGCTGAGCTCAGCTGCTTGGGCTGGAGGCTTCCCCAGCTCTGGGTCTCAGCCCCACGGATTGGGGAAGGGATTCTCTACGCACCCAGCTACTTGCTGCCTTTGCAGTTCACCGCCCGGGTGCAATCCCTGCCAGCGCAATCTGCTGGCGGCTGATAACCACAGGATTGATAACCAACCGAAGGCGGGATCGTAAAAGAGGAATTTCCACAGGTGTCGTCTGGAGAGGGTGGGACCTGGCACGGGTGCCACCGACACCCTCCTGCAAAAATTCTTGCAAGGCTACTGGGGGTGTAGTTTCTGTTGCTCGCTGTTGCCTTATCTGTTGATAAGGTTTGCTCCTGTTAACAACCGTTCTCATTAACCCAAGGGGAATTGATTCCCAGCAAGGGGATTGCTTCACTTCTGCCGCGCCCACACGGTGTTTTACTGGCTCTGCGACTCCACCTCCGACAGCAGCCTGACATGTTGCAGAGGGTTAGGCTGGATGACCATTGGGGTTCCTTCCAACTGTGTTTCTCTGGTTCCAGTTACAGGAGATCGAACCTTTCCGGGCTTGTTTACGGGCCAGGAAAAGCTCTCCTTGTGACGTTCCTGCATGCCAGGCTGTTTTCAGGGGCACAGGAGCAGAACTAGTTTTTTAAAAGGATGTTGGGAACACTCCCTAGGTTGTTGTTGTTGTTTAGTCGTTTACTCGTGTCCGACTCTTCGTGACCCCCTGGACCAGAGCACGCCAGGCACTCCTGTCTTCCACTGCCTCCCGCAATTTGGTCAAACTCGTGCTGGTAGCTTCCAGAACACTGTCCAACCATCTCGTCCTCTGTCTTCCCCTTCTCCTTGTGCCCTCCATCTTTCCCAACATCAGGGTCTTTTCCAGGGAGTCTTCTCTTCTCACGAGGTGGCCAAAGTCTTGGAGCCTCAGCTTCAGGATCTGTCCTTCCAGTGAGCACTCAGGGCTGATTTCCTTAAGAATGGATAGGTTTGATCTTCTTGCAGTCCATGGGATTCTCAAGAGTCTCCTCCAGCACCATAATCTAAAAGCATCAATTCTTCCCTAGGTAGGGATAGATAAAAGCTGCCAATTTTGGTTTCTCATTTCTGCAGTCCTCAGTTCCACACGTTTCCACAGCAGTTTGCAACTTAAAAGAAAAAGATGTCACCATGACTATACGCCCTTGGACCCTCGTACCTACAGGACCGCCTCTCCTAGTATGTCCCACGGAGGACCATACAAAACAAAAACATCTTGGAGGTCCCGGGCCACAGGGAGGTTAGGCTGGCCTCAACCAGAGCCAAGGCCTTTTCGGCTGTGGCCCCGTTCTGGTGGAATGCTCTGTCACAAGAGACTAGGGCCCTGTGGGACTTGACATCTTTCCGCAGGGCCTGCAAGACAGAGCTGTTCCACCAGGCCTTTGGCCAAGGTACAGTCTGTACAGTCTGACCCTCTCCTTCTGTAATCCTCACAGAACACTAGCCCAATGGTTGCCATTAATTTGATTTGAACTGACTTTATAATGAATTGATTTTAGAATGCTGTATTATTTTACTGTTGTTAGCCGCTCTGAGCCCGGCTTCGGCTGGGGAGGGCGGGATATACGGTAAATAAATTTTTTATTATTATTATTATTATTATTATTATTATTAATATTTGTCTGCATTCTACTGCAGATGTTTCTAATATGCACGCGATCATATGCGATTTCCCCAATTGTATACATTTTTGCAAAGCTATCACTCCCAGTGTACTGTGTCTTTTGGACATCATTTTTATGAATATATGCATTTTTGTGCACACAACATGGCTGGAGAACTCAGAGGAGATATTATAGCCGCCTTCAAATACTTCAAGAGCCGTCACGTGAAAGATGGAACAAGCTTGTTTTCTCCTGCCTCAAAGTCTCCATGGAAGACGAGTCCCCTACTTCCCTTGATTAAGGTTTTAAATGACAACTTCAGGTTATATTTTAGTGAGTAAGATCTAATTTATATATTTTAACTGCTGCTATATCTGCACTGTCCCTGTTATACCGAACTGCCAATTTACATGTATCCCTATTGTGTTTCATGACTTCCCTGATTCTGTATGTGAGCTGGAACTGGTCTGTGACCGAAATAATACATTCATTCGTTCATCCCCCCACTTCCCAGTGGAGTCTGTTCCACCGTCAAACAGCTCTTACCATCAGAAATTTATTCCTGAGACTGGGCTGGAACCCCCTTTCTTGTAACTTGAAGGCATTGGTTCGGGTCCTAGCCTATTATATTGGTTTGGGTCCCAGATAAACGCAATATGGGTCCCAGATAAAATAGAAACAGCTATAAACATACTAACGGCCCCTCTCGACAATCATTAAAAAACAATTAAACATTATTAGATTTTATTTGTCCCGCCTTTTTCCCTGACAGGGACTCAAGGCAGTTTACAGATGAAAATAACAACAGCCAAAAAATATAGGAAAAAAAATCATTGAAAAACACTTAAGCATTGGTACATAAAACTACACACACACACACACACACACACACACACACACACACACACAAATATACTCTCCAAGTGGCACAAGGGGGTTGGACTAGATGACCCCTGGGGTCTCTTCCAGTTTGACAATGCTCTGATTCTTTGAAATCTATTCAAACCACACCGATAATTGCAATAAAAACAGCACAGCACCAGCCCTTTCATTAAAAGCAGCCAATTCCCAAAGGCCTGTTGGAAGCAGGAAGTCTTCACCCGCTGGCGGAATGACAGCAAGGAGGGAGCCAGTCTGGCTTCTCTAAAGAGGGAGTTCCAAAGTGGTTCGGGAGCAACCACCAAGAAGGCCCTCTCTTGCATTCCCACCAAGCAAGCCGGTGAGGCTGGTGGGGCCAAAAGAAGGACTCCCCCCTAAGATCTTAGAGTCCAGGGAATTATGTGTGAGGGAATATGGTCCTTCAGATAGCTTGGACCTCAACTGTGTAGAGCTTTATAGTTCTTAACCAGCACTTTGAATTGTGCCCCCAAACCAGACTAGTAGCTAGTGGAGCTTCTTGGAACAATCTGCTCCCGATAACCAGCCCTGGTCAGCAATATTCCTCCAGCTCTTTGAGCAAGTTGAAATTTCTGAGCACTTTCCAAAGGCAGCTCCGTGTAGAGCAGGTTGTTGTTGTTACTACTAATATTATATTTATTAAATTGGTATATCAATCACAAGGCCGTTCACAGCATAAAAACACAAAACGAAAACTCAAAATACTGAATGAAACAAAGACAAACCAATGACCCATAAACACCTATAAAAGACCCTATTATTTTAATCAGCCAAAGAGAAACGTTTCCTCCGGACGCCTAAAGATATGTAACGAAGGTGCAAGGCGAGCCTCTCTGGGGAGAGCATTCCACAAACCAGGGGAGCCACCACAGAAAAGGCCCTGTTCTTGTGCTGCTACCCTCCGGGCCTTTTGTGGAGGGGGCAAATGAAGAAGGGCTTCAGGTGATGATTGCAGGGTTCAGTATTTGGATTACAGGAATCAAAGTAGGACACAGAGAGAGAGAGAGTTATGAGATCTATGGAAACATACGGATCATGGAAATACAAGAGGTACCTTGGTTCTCAAACTTAATCCATTCCGGAAGTTGGTTCCAAAACCAAAGCGTGCTTTCCCATAGAAAGTAACACAAAATGAATTAATCCATTCCAGACTTTTATAAACAACCCCCAAAACAGCAATTTAACATGAATTTTATTATCTATCGAGACCATTGATCCATAAAATGAAAGCAACAATCAATGTACTGTACTATAAAATAAATAAGATAGCATTGTAGAAGATGAAAATCAAAATTTATTTTTCTTCCTTCCCTGCACTGATGATGGTCATTGTTTGGATGGGGGTTTTTATCCATTTCCGCAGTCACACGATCCATCAATCAGTAGCTGAACTGGGTTCCACACAGTCACAAAAACAAATGAACCGAAAAAGCCTCAAAAACGAAAAACGCCAAATAAATAGCAAAAACAAAAGTGCCAAACTTAATCTGTGCCGGAAGTGCGTTTGACTTCCGAAATGTTCAAAAACTAAAGCTGGCGCCCCGGAAACAATAGCCGACAGCCGCATCGGACGTTTGGCTTCCGAAAATCGTTCGAAAACCGGAACACTTACTTCCGGGTTTTCAGAGTTTGGGAACCAAGGCGTTTGAGAACCAAAGTACCACTGTAAATAAATAAGGAAGCAAAGTGAAATTCTCCTTGACTCACCAATGGTTTCCTCCAGCAGCTCCCCCGCCAGCCTTCCCACTTCCGCCACAGCCACCCACGACAAGCCTTTCTCAGTGGCGAACACCAGGCTGCGGTAATGGATGTCGAGGCTGATGCTTTGCCGCAGATCCCGGACTTCGTCAAACTCGTCCCAGCCCAGCAAATCCCTCAGGTGCTGGCGGCCCGTTTTCTGCTGATGGAGAGGATGGAGGAGGAAGAAACATGAGTGATGCATTGAGGCCTGTTATTCCAAACACCCACTCGCCCCACGCCCAGAAACCCTCTGCGATATTTTACCCGCCTGCCTACGAAATTGCCTTCCCCCACATGTGACCGCTTGACCCCATCGTTCGGTGGAACTGGCAGCAAGACAGGTGCCACATGCTGCCTGTTCCGCATATGTAAGAACTCGGATATGTTTGGGTGGCAATACCTATGGAACTCCCTGCCTATTGATACCAGGCAAACATTGAGCTCTTTCTGAGGCTTGCTGAAAACATTTCTGTTCAGGCCAAGCCTACCCAAGTGCTTAGAAAGCTGTTGCGAGGTTAAATCTGTTTCTAACTTATTGTCATTTTAACTTTTCATTAAAAGTCTTAAATAACTCCTGTTAACTTTCCTATTTTACTGTTAACTTTTTTGTAAACCACTTTGAGAGGCTTAGTTGTTATTTTTACAATCAAGTGGTATGTTGATTTTTGTGATGATTGATTGATTGATATATGAATCAACTTAATTGATATATGATATATATGAATCAACTTAATTCACATTTCAAGAGAAATAACTAAGCGGTTTACATATTTTGAGTGTCTGTTTTGAATTGTTTTAGTTTTGTTTGAAACGTATGGCCTCCTTTTCAGCGTTTTCAGCTGTTATTTTACTGTTTTTTTGTCCATCACATTGAGGTGATTGTGTAGAAAGTGATTAACAAATTAACAATGATGATGATGATGATCTCTTGACAAAAGGGGGAACAATTCCAGGCTTTTGCCGCCCCTTATGGGCTAAAAACCACAGCTCAGAGCTGCAACACATTGCATGCTTCGAATACAGAAGTTTCTGGGTTCAAGCATCACATCTTAAGAAGCCTTGGTCAGACCACTCCTGGAAAACTGTGTCCAGTTCTGGGCACCACAACTGGACAAGCTGGAAGGTGCGCAGAGGAGGGCGAACAAGATGATCAAGGGTCTGGAAACCAAGCCTGATGAGGAATGGTTGAAGGAGCTGGGTATATTTAGCCTAGAAAAGAGGAGACTGAGAGGAGAGACGAGAGCCATCTTCAAATATCTAAAGTGCATGGAAGATGGAGCAAGCTTGTTTCCCCTGCTCTGGAGGGTAGGACCTGAACCAATGGATTCAGGTTACGAGAAAGGAGATTCCGACTAAACATAAACACCCATGGAGGCGCAGATTGCAGCTATAACAAAGGTGGCATTTTTCCATCTCCGCCAAGCTAAGCAGTTGGCTCCTTACCTCTCTCGCCCTGACCTAGCCACCGTGATCCACGCGACGGTCACCTCCAGACTGGATTATTGTAACTCGCTCTACGTGGGGCTGCCCTTGAGACTGACCCAGAAACTCCAACGGGTGCAGAATGCCGCGGCGAGACTCCTTACGGGGTCCTTCGCTGCGAGATCACATCCCGGTACTATACCAGCTGCACTGGCTCCCGGTGGAGTACAGGGTCAGGTTTAAGGTGCTGGTTTTAACCTTTAAAGCCCTATACGGCCTAGGACCCTCGTATCTATGGGACCGCCTCTCCTGGTATGTCCCACGGAGGACCTTACGGTCTTCAAACAAAAACACCTTGCAGGTCCCAGGCCACAGGGAGGTTAGGCTGGCCTCAACCAGAGCCAGGGCTTTTTCGGCCGTGGCCCCGATCTGGTGGAACGCTTTCTCACAAGAGACTAGGGCCCTGCGGGACTTGACATCTTTCCTCAGGGCCTGCAAGACAGAGCTGTTCCACCAGGCCTTTGGCCAAGGCAGTCTGACCCCCTCCTTCTGTAATTCTCATAGAACTCTAGCCCAATGGTTGCCATTAATTTGATTCTGAATTGATTTTAGAATGAATTGATTTTACAATGTATTTCAATTACCGTATTTTTTGCTCTATAAGACTCACTTTTTCCCTCCTAAAAAGTAAGGGGAAATGTGTGTGCGTCTTATGGAGCGAATGCAGGCTGCACAGCTATCCCAGAAGCCAGAACAGCAAGAGGGATTGCTGCTTTCACTGCGCAGCGATCCCTCTTGCTGTTCTGGCTTCTGAGATTCAGAATTATTATTTTTTCTTGTTTTCCTCCTCCAAAAATTATGTGCGTCTTGTGGTCTGGTGCGTCTTATAGAATGAAAAATATGGTAGTTGATTGTGATTTTATGCGACTGTGTTACTTTTATTGTTGTTAGCCACTCTGAGCCCAGCTCAGACTGGGGAGGGTGGGGTATAAATATATTATTATTATTATTATTATTATTATTATTATTTTATTATTATTTTTACTTTCTGAAAGTAAGAGCTGTTTGGCAGTGGAACGCTCTCTCTCTAGAGGTTATGGACTCTCCTTCCTTAGAGGGATTTAAGCAGAGCTTGGGTGGCCATCTTCCATGGATGCTTTAGCTGAGATTCCTGCAATGCAGGGGGTTGGTTTAGATGACCCGTGGGGTCCCTTCAAGGTCTAAGATTCTATAATTCTAGACAGCATCTTAAAAAGCAGAGAGATCACCTTGCCAACAAAGGTCCGTATAATTAAAGTTATGGGTTTCCCAGTAGTGATGTATGGAAGTGAGAGCTGGACCATAAAGAAGGCTGATCGCCAAAGAATTGATGCTTTTGAATTATGGTGCTGGAGAAGACTCTTGAGAGTCCCATGGACTGCAAGAAGATCAAACGCATCCATTCTGAAGGAAATCAGCCCTGAGTGCTCACTGGAAGGATAGATCCTGGAGCTGAGGCTCCAATACTTTGGCCACCTCTGGAGAAGAGAAGACTCCCTGGAAAAGATCCTGATGTTGGGAAAGATGGAGGGCACAAGGGGAAGGGGATGACAGAGGACGAGATGGTTGGACAGTGTTCTCGAAGCTACCAGCATGAGTTTGACCAAACTGCGGGAGGCAGTGGAAGTGCCTGGCGTGCTCTGGTCCAGGGGGGCACAAAGAATCGGACACGACTAAACAACATAGGCTCTGTGTTCAGTTGGATTCACCCCCCACTGAGCTATCACCAGCCACACACCCTGTTCTGCATCAGTTGCTGGAACATGGGCAAGATTTTCTGCCGATGAAACACTCTCCTCGGGAGGCAGGCTGGTGCTGATGGGAGTTGTAGTCCAAATCTACTGGATTGTTCCATTTTAGCAAAGGTTGTGTATATAAGTGGGTGAGAGAGAGTGTGGGTTTTCTGAAAGCAGGAATCGAAATTGGAGTAAGGGTGCAAAAGTCCTGATGCCCAGGGCCGTGGAGAGAAATTAGCTCTGAAAGACTCCTGCTGTGATCTGCCCTGTATTCAAGCTAATTCACCTAAAGACTCAGTTAATTATGCCCTTCATTTAAGAGGCCTTGTTATGCGCACAGCTAATACCGCTGGCTCTCTTTGGTTCACCTTGAGCAGAAAATTTCGCTGAAAAACACAAGCAGGCAAAGGTGGGTTGTTGTTTTTTAATCTCACACATATGTTCATGGGTTCGTTACTGGCAGTGACGGACCAGGAATAAGACCTTGGGGTCATAATAGACAGTTCAGTGAGTATACAGCTGTCCATGGAGGCGCAGGTCAATTGTATGTCCAGGGCAGCTGTTTATCAGCTCCATCTGGTATGCAGGATGAGACCCTCCCTGCCCGCAGACTGTCTTGCCAGAGTGGTGCATGCTCTGGTTATCTCCTGCTTGGACTACTGCAATGCGCTCTACATGGGGCTCCCTTTAAAGGTGACCCAGAAACTACAACTAATCCAGAATGCGGCAGCTAGACTGGTGACTGGGAGCGGCCGCCGAGACCACATAACACCGGTCTTGAAAGACCTGCATTGGCTCCCAGTACGTTTACGAGCACAATTCAAAGTGTTGGCGCTGACCTTTAAAGCCCTAAATGGCCTCGGCCCAGGATACCTGAAGGAGTGTCTTCACCCCCATCGTTCTGCCCGGACACTGAGGTCCAGCTCTGAGGGCCTTCTGGTGGTTCCCTCATTGCGAGAAGTGAGGTTACAGGGAACCAGACAGAGAGCCTTCTTGGCAGTGGCACCCTCCCTGTGGAACGCCCTCCCAGCAGATGTCAAAGAGAAAAACAACTACCAGACTTTTAGAAGACATCTGAAGGCAGCCCTGTTTAGGGAAGCTTTTAATGTTTAATGCATTATTGTACTTTAATATTCTTTTGGAAGCCACCCAGAGTGGCTGGGGAAACCCAGCCAGATGGGTGGGGTATTAATAATAATAATAATAATAATAATAATAATAATAATAATAATAAATTACTTTTCCTGGGAATTTACCAGTTCATTGGTTTATTATTTTATTTATGCCTGAGTGGATATCAGCTGCAGATCACTGACGACACCAAAATAGATTTCGTTAAAAGCTAATCACCAATAGATATACACCAATGAGCCCTCAGATATCATAACTCAACGAAAAAGTGGATGTTCTTTATTAAAGAGGTGTGGCTTTGCCCTTTATGAATGTATTTCCTGTAACAGTGACTTCTAACTTTATTATCATTTTCTCTTACATGCTGCCCAGAGAGCAGGTGTTATAGGGCAGCTCATGAACCGAATAAATAAGCAAACAAATGCAATCTTCATATCAGAAGAATCCTGCCATGTCATTTTTTATTTCCCCAAGCACTATGTTGTCAGAATTCGACCTCTCTCCCCTCTGTCTCAACCACATACACACAAAAACTATATACAACATTTGCAAATCCGGCCAAATCTGAAAATTCACTGAATAGTGCCGAATTTATGTACTGTATAAGCTAAACAAGCTATAGCTTAGGGCCCCACTCTCTTGGGGTCACACAAAGAATTAAAGGGGAAAAAACTGGATGCACATTTCCAAAATATAAGACAAAAAACAAATAAAATAAAACCTACATACAGCAACAGTGTTTTGTGTTGTGTAGGCTCCTATGATGTAAGTCATGGGCCCCGCCTGCTAGCCTACTCCCTAAAATATCATTGCTTTGCTCCTTTCTATATACATTCTGCATGGACTGATTGCATGGCCACATGTGCAAATGGCTTTAGATACTTGTTGGGTCCATAAATTACCATATAGTGTATATTCAACACAAAAAACAGTGACAATTTGCTGATAAAGTACAGCTGGACAGATAAAGGGCCCCATTACCTTCAGTAGCTTGGGGCCTCATCAAACCTAAATCCAGCCCTGACCCTCAACTCTCAGTTCCAAAACTTGAATTGTCACAGAAAGCTGAGACAGATCACTGTTCCATCTAGTTCAATATTGTCCACACTGGCTGGCAGCAGCTCTCCAGGGCTTGAGGCAAGGAGTCTGACTCTCCCAGCCCTGTCAGAGATGCCAGGGATCAGACATGGGACTTTTTACATACGAAACACAAGCTCTACCGCTAAGCTACGACACACACACACACCCAGCACAAAGGTGTTCTCATGCAAATCTGCCAAGTACTTTTTTGTTCCCAAAATTAATCCGCCTTGTCTTTATATTCTGGTTCCTGAGAAAGTGAAACTTGGCAAGCCTTTTGTGTGTTGCATTTCAGGGCGACGGCCTCAGCCCCCTCCACCCCCGTCCGCAAAGCTCAGCCTCGACCTCGCTTCCCTTTTTATTTACCGGCAGCTGGAAGACTTCTTCGACACCCTCTGCTGATAATTTGGCCATCCTTCCTGGGACTGGTTGCTAGGAGACGCTGGCTTGTGATGCACAACCATGGAATGAACAGGGAAAAGGAAAGGTTCTGTTAGACGCTCACCGTTCCAGATCGGGCAGCTTCAGGTGAAACCTCAACAAGGGGGAAAACAGAGGCAGCCGCAAACAAAAGTGTCAGCCTGCAACCCTTGGCGATTTGGGGAAGGGTCTAGGATTTCAAGTCTCGCCAAGGGTGCCGTTCTGCAGCTCGCCTTTGGAAAACAGACCTGCAGCCGGTTTTCTGACAGCCCCAAACAACCCTCTGTCTGCAAGGAAGGTGAATTCACACGGAGACGGCTGAGCACGACGTTTTCACCGTGGTTCTCGTAAAACTGTTGGGCCTTCTCGGTAGTGGCGCCCGCCCTGTGGAACGCCCTCCCAACGGAGATAAATAACTGCGCAACTTTTAGAAGACATCTGAAGGCAGCCCCCTTTTTCGGGAAGTTTTTAATGTTTGGTGTTTTTATGTGTGTGTTGGAGTAGAGTGGTTGGGGCAACCCAGCCAGATGGGTGGGCTATAAGTAATAAAATTGTTGTTGTTGTTTGTTGCAAGTTTATGGCACCTTTTCCAATGAACTGGAATGGTGTGTTTTTTCTCTTGGAAGAGTGACACTAGGGCTTGTCCACACCGGACCAGAATGTGGATTTGTACTAGCCTGTCTCACTGTCCATTACATCCTCCCCAGTGATGCACCATACTTTATAGACTCATAGAATTGGAAGGGACCACAAGGAGCCAGTGTGGTGTAGTGGTTAAGAGCGGTAGACTCGCAATCTGGTGAACCGGGTTCAAGTCTCTGCTCTTCCACATGCAGCTGCTGAGTGACCTTGGGCTAGTTACACTTCTCTGAAGTCTCTCAGCCCCACTCACCTCACAGAGTGTTTGTTGTGGGGGAGGAAGGGAAAAGGAGATTGTGAGCCACTTTGAGACTCCTTCGGGTAGTGATAAAGCGGGATATCAAATCCAAACTCTTCTTCATCATCATCTAGTCCAACCCCCTGCAATGAAGGAATATTTCATCCAACGCGAGGCTCGAACGCACAACCCTGATGTTATGTACTGAGTTGAATAGGATCCAAAATGCAGCAGTCTGATTGGTCCTAGAACAATAGGATTCAGAATGCAGCAGTATGATTGGTCCGCAGGAGCCACCCAATCCAGCTCCAGGTGGAAGTGAATCCGCAACCTGATTGGCCTACAGGAGAACCCCAGAATTGGCCAATCACGTGCGGCCTATTGTGTAAATAATGTATATAAAGCAGATATTTTGGGGAAACTTTCATTCCTCACTACTATGAGCTGAATAAAGAGCATGAAATCCATACTCGACTCTGAGTATATTTCACCTGAGATTAAGGGTCTCACGCTCTGCCAACTGAGCTATCCCCATTTGAATGCAGGGGTCTTTTTATGTTTGGAATATTCCCAAAAGGCTAGTGTAAACACACACACCAAATAACCTGCATTTAAAGGGAGAAAAGACCCTGGAATAGGGTCTACATTTTGCTCTGGTGTGGACAGGCCCAAGGCCCTAGTCCTCAGTGAGAGGGTTTGGCCTGTGTCTGGACTGTACCACTCAGGGGCTCAGAAGAATGAATGTTCCTCTGTTAAAAAGAAAAGAAAAAAACAGCCCCAAGCTATCATGTCATGAAAGAGAGGTCATCTTAGCCTTTGCAAAGCCCTCAACTGTGATATAAGGGGCAATAATACTTTCTTAGCATTCATGGCTGTCATAAGGATTCTGAGATAAAGTTCTTTGAGCTCTAAAAGGACTACATGCACTTTGGAGAGACAGCGTGGTGCAATGGTTAGACTGGGCTAGGAGCTGGGAGAGACCTGGGTTCAAATCCTTGCTCAGCCATGGGCCACTGATTCTCAGCATCACCTGACAATAACAAGTTTGTTATTGGAATTAACTGGGGAACAGGAGAACCGTTGGAGCTCCTTGGAGGAAAACGTAGGGTGTAGATGCAATAGATAAATGTTGTTGCTGTTTAGTCGCTTAGTTGTGTCCGACTCTTTGTGACCCCATGGACCAGAGCACGCCAGGCACTCCTGTCTTCCGCTGCCTCCCGCAGTTTGGTCAGACTCATGCTGGTAGCTTCGAGAACACTGTCCAACCATCTCGTCCTCTGTCGTCCCCTTCTCCTTGTGCCCTCCATCTTTCCCAACATCAGGGTCTTTTCCAGGGAGTCTTCTCTTCTCATGAGGTGGCCAAAGTATTGGAGCCTCAGCTTCAGGATCTGTCCTTCCAGTGAGCACTCAGGGCTGATTTCCTTCAGAATGGATCGGCTGGATCTTCTTGCAGTCCATGGGACTCTCAAGAGTCTCCTCCAGCACCATAATTCAAAAGCATCCATTCTTTGGCGATCAGCCTTCTTTATGGTCCAGCTCTCACTTGCATACATCACTAATGGGAAAACCAGAGCTTTAACTATACGGACCTTTGTCGGCAAGGTGGTGTCTCTGCTTTTAAAGATGCTGTCTAGGTCTGTCATTGCTTTTCTTAGATAATAAATAATAGACAAATAAATGCTTTTCTTAGATAATAAATAAGTAGATAAATAAATACAGCCAACTATCATTTTCTTTTCAAAATATAAAAGCAAGCACGATCTGCATTTGTTTTTCCCTTAAAAAAAAACACTGGGAAAAAAGGATGTCCTCGCTTTGTAAAGCTGGAGCCGATATCCCCTGGCACGTATTGAAGATGATGGAGGTTTTTAAGCAGACATTGGGTGGCCATCAGTCATGCACGATCTAGTTGAGATTCCTGCATCGCAGTGGGCTGAACTAAATGACCGTTGCGGGTCCCTTCCAACTCTACCATTCTACGATGGCGGTGATGAAACCCTGCGATGGTGTCAGCCATGCCCAAGGGGCACCGGAAAGGCAAACAGAGAGCGCTGGGTACCTTCTCTCCTCCCGGTCTTAGGAGCCCTTCTGCTTGCATAAACTTCAGGGCAGGAGAATGCTACGTGCTTGAGGCCTAAAACCTCCAGGATAATCAGGATTTCGGATTAAGGCTGCTGATTATTACAGACAAGGAGGAGGCCCAGGGGATACAGATCGCTCCGGCGCAGCTCTGGGGCCATCGTCAAATGCACTCCCAAGCGCCATAGGGACCCAGGAAGCTGCCATGTGCAGAGTCAGGCCCATCTGTCTGTGTATCACCTACACTGGCCAGCAGACCCTCTCCAGATTTTTAGAAGAGGGATGCTCCCAGCAGCATCTTTTACCGAACCAGAAGCTTTCTTTGTTCTACCACTGAGCTACAGTTCTTTCCCCCCCAAACATGATGATCGCAGGACTCTTCATTTGCCCGGGTTAGTGAAGAACATCACAAGCTAAATAACTCTGTATATGGTTTAAAAGAGTTTTTTAAGTAGAAACCAGGACGTCCCAAAAGTTGTTGAGCTTTGCTATTTTTGGAGAAACCACACATGCCCCCCACAAATTTTCGATTGACTTTCCTAAGATCCAGGACAAAGCACCTCGGGTGTCAATTCTGCCTTAGAAATTCCGGGAATGTCCAAAGAAATGTACAAAAATTCAACACCTTCTATGACTTACGAGTCTGAAATTGTTATGTAGTGTAGTTTCACCCTGGGCCAACAGGGGGATACTGTATATAGTTTTCACTCAGGTCTGTAGATAGTTTTCACTCAGGTCCGCGGCAGTTATTTTAGGCGGGAACTCTGGGCTGTTGTGGTTACAATGTTGACAGCCGGCTGCCTATAAATACAGGCCGGCTGAGCTGTTCGCAGTCAGTTGTATTCCAGCTTACCATAATAAAGAGCTACTTGAAGAAATCGCTGTGCCGGCTGCTATGTCAACCCACGACTTAACACTGGCGACGAGGATGGGATGGATGGACATCAGAGCACAGCCAGATGCGGCCAGCCTCTGAACTGAGCTGAATCACTGAGCTGAATCACAGAGCGAAATCACTGAGCGAAATCACTGGGCAGAACCAATTCAGAGCTGACTGTTCTGGCTAGAGCACTGTGTTCCATCCATTGCCCTTCACGCCGGCATCGGAATCATGGCTTCACTTGTGCCTCTACCGCCGTTTGCGCCAGCCTCTGAATCGTGGGACTCCTACCTCGCTCGGTTCGACTGCTACCTCCAAGCCAACGAGCTGACAGCAGTATCAAAGGATCGGAAGCGGGGCCTATTCCTCAGCCTCTGTGGGCCTGAGGTGTTTGAGACGGCCCGAGCGTTGGTTGCGCCTGAAGCAGTCCAGGCAACACCATGGGACACGATCCAAGAGAAGCTCCGCAACCACTACGCACCAAAGCCGTCCAAGATTGCTGCCCGCCATGCGTTCTACCACCGGAACCAGGCAGAGGGGGAGTCATTCAACAACTACACCACCGCCCTGCGACAGGCTGCAATGCACTGTGAGTTCCGAGACTTAGACGATGCCCTGATGGATCGAATCGTCTGCGGGGTCCGGGACATCCATCTGCAACGGCGCCTCCTAGCCAAGCCAGACCTCAAGCTACAGAAAGCCATTGAGGAGGCTGTGGCCTCAGAAGCTGCCGAACGCTCCGCCCAGGAGATCCGCAAGTCCAGCAGCCCACGTCTTGCTAGGGAGCCAGTTCCGGTGCATCATGAAGAGGCCAGCAGTGATGAGGCATCCTCCAGTGAAGACGATGACGTGCACCAGACAAAGCGGGAGCGCAGGAAGTTCCAACAGAAGTCCAAGGGCCAACCGGAATGTGCTGGCTGCGGAGGCAACCATTCCCGTGCCAAGTGTCGATTCAGAGACGCCATCTGTAGGAAGTGTTCCAGAAGGGGCCACATCGCTAAGGTCTGCCGATCGGCTCCGTCTGACAATGCCATAATAATAATAATAATAATAATAATAATAATAATAATAATAAGACACAACTCAACATCTCAAAGCCAGACAGTCCATTATTCCTGCAGTAAGTCCAAGAGAAAAACTCTCTATGTTTATATTTGTTGCTGGTGTGACAAATTTTTAAAGTTTGATGTTTTATCGTGTTTTTAATATTCTGTTGGGAGCTGCCCAGAGTATCTGGGAAGCCCAGCAAGATGGGTGGAGTATAAATAATATATTATTATTATTATTATTATTATTATTATTATTATTATTACAATAATATTATTGCTATATCATATTATTATTACTTGGGCATTCCAAATATCATTTAAGATTTTTGTACATCCTTGTTAATGAATTTTTGTAAACCGTATCCAGAGTTGTTTAGTTTGTGATCTGGGTCGGGGTGACTGATGGCA